AAAAATCAAAAGGGGCCAAAATGCGGTCTTATACGCCCCCGTCCTTTTCAATGCTACTTTACCAATTTATAAAGATGCAAATCATTTGATACACTTACTTAATTATTATTTAAATCCAAAGAACAAACGCGTGTATGATACGAAGCAGAAATTTCTGCGCTCAATAGTATTGAAAAGTCATACATATGATATTCGAGCACAAGAGTTTTTTAGATATTTAAGAAAATATTTAAAATGTAATAATACAAATGTATTTGATAGACTTTGTTTTCCTTTTTCACGTATCTCATTACCAATATGCAAAGTTCGAAATCAAGAAATAGATCCTCCTGTAAATCAAATATGCGTTATAGTTCGTACCTTTTCAGGACAAAGAAAGCAGCTATTTCCTATGTTAACATCACTATTAGCGGGAAGTAATTCTGTAAAGATTTATATCATAGATACTGATCCATTACGAGCATCTTTTCCAACATGGATAGATACAATTATATCAGATGTAAATAATGTTTATCAAACATGTCAAATTTATAATCTTCACCATCATACAAACATTACACCAATACATGATTATTATGGTTATGATGGTACTGATATTGCAATGGACTTTATTTTAAAAAATGATAATTGTGCCTATATTATGTTTACTAATGGTGATAACTTATATAATATCAATTTATTTAATATCATAAATGAAGCCACACTTCTTGGAACTGATATAATTGCATGGGACTTCATAACTCATCATGTTCGAAATGGAACATTGAATACAGCGATAAAAGTGAAATTTACTAGACAAAACGTTGACTTAGGTTGTGTACTTTATGCATCTAAGTTAATAAAAGAATCTGGTGTAAAGTTTTTACCTGAAAACGGAACAAGTGATTTATTTGCAAGAGACTGGCATTTTGTGGAAAGTATTTTAAAGAGCAGAAAAGGAATAACCACAAAGCTCTATCATGAAGTTCTTCTAATACACCAATAGCCATTGATGGATTAATTAGTGAACAATAAACTTCATCTACCATTTGTATTGTCTTTTGTGCTAATGAGTGTTGAAATATATAGCGAGAAAGATAGACTTGTCTTGATCCTGTCACAGAGGATGGGTGTGGTGCATAGCAGAGATGTCCATCGCGGCGCTGCCGCTGCCGCGGTGGCGGTGGCGGCGCGGCAGCGGCAGGTTTTAAAAAAAATCACCGCGGCAGCGGCGCGGTAGCGGCAGATTTTTTTAAAAGTCATCGCGGCAGCGGCGCGGTAGCGGCAGGTTTTTTAAAAAACCATCGCGGCAGCGGCGCGGCAGCGGCGCGGCAGCGGCAGGATTTTTTTGGAGGACATTGAAAAACTGTATGAATTTAATAGAATTTCACGATTTACAAATGAAACGCCCTGATATTGAATAAATCTGATGGACTAGTACCCATATCTCTGGTCAAATATAGTCACAGCAGTGAAATTAGAAACACTTTTTTGAAAATCGTCGCGGCAGCGTTTCTTTTATAAGTCATCGCGGTGCGGCAGCGTCGCGGCAACATTTTTTTATAAACCGTCGCGGCGCGGCAGCGGTGCGGCAGCTTTTTTTTTCTAAGGCCGCGGCGCGGCAGCGGCAGATTTTCAGCCGCGATGGACATCTCTGAATCAAACACGACTCTCCGTTTTCTACACATTAACCAAAACAACAATATGTGCCATTGAAATATGTGAGTGTCGAAGCATACATTAAATCCTTTGCTGCAGACGTTACCATCAAACAAGTTTTTCGAAATGATGAAACAAAACCAATTGAAGCAGTGTATTGTTTTCCAATAGAAGAACAAGCAGCCATCTATTCATTTATTGTTCAAATTGATAATCGAGAAATTATTGCACAATTGAAAGAAAAAAAACGAAGCTCAATGAGAATATAGCGATGCTCTTAAACTAGATTATGGTGCATATTTACTCGAACAAAATGAAAAATCTCAAGATAATTTTATGATCAATGTTGGTGCACTACCAGCTGGTAAATAAATATCACATCTCTATATCATATATCTTTGAACTCGATCTTGTTGAAAATGGAAGCTGTATTTCGATTTGTTATTCAAACGGCTATCGCACCTCGATACAATCCAAATAAAGGTGGTATCAGTTCAGCAGCTGGTACCACATCCAAATATGTTCAAACAGCTTCATAAACAATTGAATTTCGTTGTCAAATGGAGAAAACCAACATCTCTCGAGTTAGTTCAACGTCTCATCCTATCCAGATTGAAGTCGAACGAAGTTTTCCAGTGAATACTAATGCAAAAAGTCAATCAATTTCATACCAATGATTAGGAAGACAGATTGCATTTTCTTTTCGTGAATGTTCACTACTAAAAATATTGATATATTGATATTTTTTTAGTAAATAAGAGTACGAAAAAAAATTACGAACTAAATTTTCTTACATTATTTTGTGAACTATGCCAAATGAAAAAAACAATAAAAAAAACCGTTCAACTTTTGAATGCCAGCAGCTTGCATTCAATCTTAGTTGACCATTCAATTTGTTTTAGAATACTATGAAATAGGATCAGACACGATCAGTTCTGTGCGCTAACAAAACACTTCTCATTTTCTCCTCCTACAATTGACTTATTGTCGCATTACTCGCTACACTGGCACCCGCCATGCTTTGCAACGTGTCATCAACTATGTTTTCTTCTCTATGAATCATACAGTCGCATTCTTCGTTCTTTTCTCAATATTGACTCATGACTTTCTCTGAGCAACGATTGAGTATTTAAATGAGTAATTTCAGGAGCAACATCATTTTGCACAATGCTCCGAATCAGCCAATATTCTTCCGTTTCTTCGCAGCAGTCAGAACAACAATATGTGCCATTAAAACATGTGAGCGTCGAAACTTTTATTAAATTTTTCGCTGCCGATGTGACTATCAAACAAGTTTTTCGAAATGATGAAACAAAACCAATCGAAGCAGTGTATTGTTTTCCAATAGAAGAACAAGCAGCCATCTATTCATTTATTGCTCGAATTGATCATCGAGAAATTATTGCACAATTAAAAGAAAAAAAGGAAGCACAAAAAGAATATAGCGATGCTCTTGAACAAGGACATGGTGCATATTTACTTGAACAAGATGAAAAATCTCAAGATAATTTTATAATTAATGTTGGTGCACTACCAGCTGGTAAAGAATGTCATATCTCTATATCGTATGTCTCTGAGCTAGATCTTGTTGAAAATGGAAGTCGCATTAGATTTGTTGTTCCAACAACTATTGCACCTCGATACAATCCAAACAAAGGTGGTATCAGTTCACCGGCTGGTACAACATCAAAATATGTTCAAACAGCTCCATACACAATTGAATTTCGTTGCCAAGTGGAGAAAACTAACATCTCTCGAGTTAGTTCGGTATCTCATCCTATCCAGATTCAACTCGGTCAAGAGAATGTCTATGTCATCGAATTTGCCCAAAAAAATACACATTTAGATCGAGATATCTTGCTAGATATTGAGTTAAATAGCAATCGTTCAAATACCATTGTTGCAGTGGAACCAGGTGCTGTTATGGCTTCATTTACACCAAATGCAGAAGATTGTCAACGTGTGATGAACAATGTAGAGACGACTAATGAGTTTATTTTTGTTATCGACTGTAGTGGATCGATGAGAGATGAAAATAAGATTGGATTGGCACGTGAAGCTATGTTACTCTTTCTCAAGAGTCTTCCACTTAATTGTCATTTTAATATCATTCGATTCGGATCAACTCATCAAGCATTATTCAATGAGATTACTGCCATTTACAATGAACAAAATGTTCAAAAAGCTGAACAGCTCACCAATCAGTTGCAAGCAGATTTGGGTGGTACTGAATTGGTGAGTTTCAACGATTTTATCTTAAAATATTGTTTATTTGTGTCTATTTTAGTTAAAACCACTTCAATGGATAGAACAACATCCTCCAAAACAAGGCCATGCGCGACAAATATTTTTGTTGACAGATGGAGAAATTTCCAATGTCAACGAAGTACTCGACCTATGTCGTTCAATGGCTACTTCTACACGTATCTTTTCATTTGGTTTGGGTCACTCTCCAAGTCGTTCACTTGTCAAAGGACTTGCTCGAGCAACGAATGGACGTTTTGTTTTTATTCCACCTAACACTAGTGTCGATATTCATGTTGGTGAACAATTACAAAAAGCTCTGCAATCTTGTATAACTAATATACAAGTGAAATGGCATTTAGGTGCTGATGTGATGAGTGCACCAACAAAAATACCACCAGTTTATGCTAATGATCGTCTGATTGTCTATGCACTTGCCAATAATCCAACGTTTGTTTTTGGTCACAATTCCAGTGTTGAATTATGTAATGATAGAAGTCGATTAGGCGATGCAAAAATTGATTGTATTCCAAATGTCAGTATGAATGGAACGATTGCTCGACTTGCTGCCAAAGCACTTATTCTCGAATTGCAACATTCGAAATTACCTTCCTCGGCTATGAAGAAAAATTCAGGTTCACTACAAAGTCGATTTCAAGAAGATCCCCCATCACCAATACCAGCAACGACGATTGACGAGAAAGAGGTGACAAAGAAATCAATTATTGAACTTTCACTCAAATATCAGATTCTGAGTCCACATACTGCTTTTATCGGTGTCGAAAAACGAGTGAATGGCAGCAATGTCGATATGGTCTTGCGCGAAGTGCCGATTCAAATATCGAAGGATGATCAACACTTACAGACACCTCGTTTTATGAGATTCAGTGCGAACAGGATGCCAACTAGTGGGATGTCATTTCATGGAATGCCAGTACAAACAAAGATGCGGTCTAGCACGGCAGGTTCGGTTCGAAACTATGAGATGGATTATTGTGCTTCGGCATCAATACCTCAAGTAAATTCATTTTCAGAGCAAGTTGATGAAGATTTCGAATGTCTGGATCGCAATGTAGTGCATAGCACATCATCGTCGAGCACTAGCAGCGGAATTGGTTCTAGTATTACTTCACATTTGTCGGATTTGTTTCATAAAGGAGAAGATAAAACATGGCCTACAGGCGATCAAAATATTGTTCGCTACTTGATTAACAAACAAAAGTTTGATGGTTTATGGGATTTGGATGCGAAAGATATCGAACATTTGACTGGGAAACCATTGGCAAGCTTTCCATCATCCAATAATAAACAAGTTCTCATTTCAGCGATTGTTATTATTGCATTTGAAACTCGTTTTGTGGCATTGTCAGCAATGTGGCATGGTGTAGTACAAAAAGCTCGCAATCGTCTTCTCGATTTACTTGGCAAAGATGTCAAACAACTTGAATTGTTATTGAAGAACATTCGTCAACAATTATGAAAGTTGTTTGTCATCGATTGAACATAAACGCTTCGCTTACTATCATCATTTATCTGTAGAGCCAGAAAACGAGTAACAGCTTTTATTCGCAGAAATTTAACAATAAAAGAGTCGATACTGCAGTGGAATGAAAAGATATCTGAATCGACACTTGTTTACAGTGAATCTGATCCAAACAGCATTACCACTCTCACTAACAATGGAAGTATGTGTATTGATGAGCGAAAAAGTTGCACATATTCG